TTCGGCCTTCCCATATGACCTCCCAGAACCAGAGCTGGTACCTTCTCTCGACCGACTATGTTCCAGCTGGGAACCAGAGTGGTGGCTCAGTAACCACAAGCGACTTGACATTTTCTTGGGCCAACTCACCCAGCACGGGGTTTGGATTCAACGTAACCCGCAATAGCACCGGGGACGTCTTGTTCTCGACGACTGGCACAAAACTGGTCTTTGAGAACCAATTCATCGAGCTCGTTACGCACCAGCAAGAGAATTACAATCTCTACGGTCTGGGAGAGGTCATCCATGGGTTGAGACTGGGAAACAACCTCACACGCACCATTTACGCCGCCGATGTTGGCGATCCAATCGACCAAAACCTATACGGGAGCCATCCATTCTACCTCCAAACCAAGTATTTCGAGGTCGGCAGCGACAACAGTACAACTCTCCTGACTGAGCAGCTCGACACGACCGAGGCTACCGAAAATTACACCTCCTTCACCCACGGGGTCTATTTCCGCAATGCTCATGGCATGGAAGTCCGCCTAGAAGCCAACAATGTGACATGGAGAACATTGGGCGGCAGCATCGATCTGTATTTCTTCTCCGGACCAACACAGCCGGATGTGACGAGTCAGTATCTGAATGTGATAGGTATGCCAATGCTGCAAAACTACTGGGGGTTTGGTTACCATCAGTGCAGATGGGGATATCAGAACTGGACTGTCACAGAAGCCGTTGTCGACACCTATGAACGCTTCGGTATTCCACTTGAAACAATTTGGAACGACATTGACTACATGTTTCAATACCGAGATTTCGACAACGACCCCGTCCGCTTCAACTACTCGGATGGTAAAGCCTTCCTCCAACGTCTCCACAACAGAGGCCAACATTACGTTCCTATCATCGATTCTGCCATCTATGTTCCTGATCCAACAAATGCAAGCGATGCATACCAGCCGTTTGATGACGGCAATGCTACCAATTCATTCCTCCTCAATCCAGACGGGTCACTCTACATTGGCGAGGTTTGGCCTGGTTACACCGTCTTCCCGGACTGGCTCCAGCCATCTGCCCGAGCATGGTGGAAGAACCAGATTGTCACTTGGCATCAAAAGCTTCCTGTCGACGGTGCTTGGATCGACATGAGTGAAGTATCCTCATTTTGTGTAGGAAGCTGTGGTACTGGAAATCTCACGCTCAACCCGGTCCACCCACCCTTCGGTCTCCCTGGCGAGCCCGGCAATGTCATCTACGACTATCCGGAAGGCTTTAATTTGACCAATGCCACCGAGGCTGCTTCGGCCTCTTCAGCTTCTCAAGCCCAGGCGACGCCAACTTCGACCGCCTCAGCGTCAAGCTCAAGCTCGTCTTCGTCGACAACAAGCTACCTGCGCTCAACACCAACGGCAGGACAACGCAACATCAACTATCCACCCTATGTGATCAACCATGTCCAAGGAAACCACGATCTGGCTGTGCATGCGGTATCTCCAAATGCCACACACCACAATGGTATTCAAGAATACGACGTCCATAACCTCTTCGGCCATCAAATACTCCAAGCTACATACGCTGGGCTCTTGGCCGCGATCCCCAACAAGCGACCTTTTGTCATAGGGCGGTCCACATTTCCCGGTTCAGGCACTGTGGCAGGCCACTGGGGCGGCGACAACGCTTCCAAATTCTTCTACATGTACTTCTCTATCCCACAAGCTCTGTCGTTTAGTCTCTTCGGCATCCCAATGTTCGGCGTCGACACCTGTGGATTCAATGGCAACTCGGACGAAGAGCTGTGCAATCGGTGGATGCAACTATCAGCCTTCTTCCCCTTCTACCGCAATCACAACACGCTCTCTGCGAACCCCCAGGAGGCGTATGTCTGGAGTAGTGTTATCGATGCCACCAAGACAGCCATGAACGTGCGCTTCCAATTACTGCCGTATCTGTATACGTTGTTCTACTATGCGCATACACGAGGCGATACAGTCATGCGTGCCCTGGCATGGGAGTTCCCCAACGATCCCAGCCTCGCGAACGCCGACAGACAGTTCTTCCTCGGCCCGTCAATCCTCGTCACCCCAGTCCTCACGCAGGGTGCGACCAGTGTGGATGGCGTGTTCCCTGGCCTCGTGGAAGGCACTGATACTTACTACGACTGGTACAACAAGTCGCCTGTCGCGATCCCTAGCACGAAGAACACCACCATCAACGCACCTTTGGGCCACATCCCCGTGTTCATCCGCGGTGGCAGCATCCTGGCGACGCAGCAGATGGCCTTGACAACGCGTGATGCGCGCAACACGTCTTGGAGCATCATAGTCGCCCCCAGCGTGGAAGGCACCGCCAACGGATCGCTGTACCTGGACGACGGCGAAAGCCTGACCCCGAACGCCACCAAGATTGTGACCCTGACGAGCTCCCGCTCCCCGCAGAACGGGACATTCAGCCTCAACGTCAAGGTCTCGGGATCCTACACCGGTCTCGACCTCCCGCTCGCCAACGTTACCTTCTTGGGCGTGCAGCGCGCCCCCGCCAACACCACGGTCACCATCAATGGCCGCGCCGTCGCCAACGCCACGTACAATGCCGCGAGCAAGGTCTTGAGCGTCACCGGCTTGGGTAACGTGCTGGGAGGGAAAGTCTGGGGTGGGAACTGGACGCTGAGCGCGTGATTTATCCAGCTGAAGAAGGGATGGGAGATTGTTTCGCAAGGTGAAGGAAATAGAAAAAAGGGCAAATACGCTGGATGGAGAACAGGGAAAACAGTGCCGGGTTTTCAGAACCTGGACGAAAAAGACAATAGCGGAGCGGAAAGCGTGGGGTGGGATGGGATGAGGTCGAGTCACTTGAACAGAGCTTCCCTCGCTCGATCGAGGTTAGGACAAAAAAAAGTAATGACTACCTAGTTAGTACAATCGTAATAGAAGAATGTTCAGCCAGGGTCGTTGATGTGTGGTGACATTTCAACCTCGACTGGACAAACAATCTATCTGCTTTGTTAGTACTCGGTATGTATACTTCGTTATCCAGCGGTTGACAAGAAAACCTCGTCCTAACACCATGTTTAGGACAGCGCGCTGCCTGCTTTACTCTGCCTCGCCTCTGCCTCTGCATGGGCCAGGTGCTGAGCCTGCTAGGTTTGAACAGGCGGTGGTCTCAAGCTTCGCGGATCAAGCCTGTCTGCCTCTGGATATTATGCCTCTTGCTTTCTGTTGGAACCCACCATGATCTTTCCTGAGGAACAGCAAAGCCTTGTGGGGAGCCAAATCTGAAAGTCATGCACCAATTCTACACGCCTCTAGCATATCGTTACAGATCTGCTCAATGTCGTTCAATTCTTGGACGACATCTTAGTAAAACGCTGCTTGAAGCTTGGTCGTGCTAAGGGTAGCTCCGTGGCAGGCGTCCCTTCGAATCGTCAGTAACTTTGCCACATAACCCTGCGGCACCAAGTTTGATCCAGCGTGTATCTTACCAATGAATACATCTGCCAATGACCATTGCGAACTGTGACCCTGCCTGCCGAGCGACGCGTCTTTGCACCCTGTCGGCTGTCCGATAGTCCGTGGCAGCCTCGCTGTTTGGGATCAAGTCCGTCATGCGTCTCAGCTTATGTAGAGGCTGTTGGAGAGCTAGCTCCAGAAGCATGACCCCAAGCTTGAAGATTGTTCCGAGTGCTCGCGACAGACCATACCCAAGGCTTGATAGAGGTCAAGAGCAAAATTCTTGATATTGTTGCAGCGGGTAACCGCCATGCGCACGCCATCGGAAAGCATGGCCGTAGAAGTGGCACTTTTCGTTAGTTGTGTCTTTGACAGAAGTCCTGCAAAGTCTTCAATGTCGTTATCGAGTTCCTGTAGTAATGCTTCGATCTTTGACCTAGACAAGACGTGGCTCGCTCGCTCCTTGTATGTGCGGGCGGCGGTGACTTGCTGCGAACTTGTGGGTAGCCTAAATCATCAGCGATACATCCGTGCACTGAGGCCGGATTTACCCCAGCGTTGGACGTTCATTCCACATTGGGTGGATATGCAATGACTTAGTGATATGTAATGCTCCCAAGGGACGCTTGACTTGATCCAACATTGGGAGAATGCACTTACCGACTGTGTGTCAATCTCAGCAAGGCCACAGCATATCGCACACTCCTCAAGCTGCCCAAGGCCCTCGTCTATCAGTTCCAAACATTCTTGCACCTCGCTCGCCACATGGCCCACTCTGCAACAGGGCAACGAGGCAATGGGGCACCGGGGCAAGATTGTAGGGTTTGGGATTTGGTGACTGGTGACTGGTGACTGGTAAATTGATGCCGACGAGAAATGATGGCGGAGGGGGAGAGAGGCTCATCAACCTGGAAGGCTAAGACCAGGGGTCGGATGCGAGGCTGAGTCCGAGGCCAGCTGGCGCCGAGGCTGAGAGAGGCTGAGGTCAAAAGCAAAGCCAAAGAGCGTAAGGTTCGTCCCGAACCGCACCATCTCACCCACAAATGTGATTCTTGATGGCCGGCCAGGTGGCACGGCTGGAGAACGCCTTCCCTCCTTCCTTGCTGCGGACAGCACAGGTACAGTACAGCAAGTACGTTTACGACCATTAGGCGAGGGGAAGTGGTTTTCTTTTTTCACATTTCACATCTGACAGTACAGCACAGAGCTAACAGCTGATGATCATTGCTTGTCGTTCATTGCTCGAAACACCAGCGAGTCATTCTTTAGGTAGCTCAGTCCCCTGGCAAAAGATTCTTTTTCTTCTTGCCTTACAGGACTCGTGCTGGGTGAATACAGGCGCAACCAATTTCCTTCGCCACCGCGATCAAGCCTAGCGGATAGTACAGCTCAGGCAGGCAGGCATGCAGGCAGGCGTGTTCTCATTGCTCTCCGCCATTTCTCCATTCGAATCTTCTTCCACTTCATGCATATTTGTCTCCTTGCACAGCCCCGGTTCCCACATAGCCAATTTGCACTCTGCGCAAGACACCCTGCATACAGGAAGATTTGGTCCATAGTGATTAGTCCTTACTGAGTCGGGCATCTGTCAAGAGGTTTCTGCGCTGGCAAGGGGTTATTGGATTTCCTACCGACATGTGACTCCTGTACACTTTCGTCGTCGTCGTCATCGTCATCATCATCGCTGTCACTGCTGCTGTTGTCAGAAGAGGAGGAAGAAGAGCTATCGTCAATCACCTCGACCTCCCTCTCCTGAGCATGTTTCACCAACAATGGCGTCACCCTGGGTTTGGTCTTTCCCTCCAGCTCGACGAGCCTCTCATTCTGTTCCTTCAGTATTCTCAACAACTCGTCCTGGATGGTCTTCTGGGCCCTTTCGGTTTGCAACACCTGCTGTCTCGCGAGGTCGATGATTGTTTCTCTAGAGGTAACGAGCAGCACAGCCATCTCGGTCGGCTTAATGCCCTCTTCCCGTTCAAGTCTGCGGGACACGCGATCAAGGCGGACGGCTGGAAGGCTTTCCCGAAGCCTCTTGACCGCATTAGCTTCGACTTCGACGCGGCGTTTGAAAGCCTCGGCTTCTTCATCGTTACGTTTGCGCTTGCGTGACTCGACTGTAGTAGCAGCGAGAGTTAGTTGCTATGGTTTCCCATTGCGGTAGGATTTCAAGGGGATCTGTCCTCGTACCTGGTCGTGCCTCGGTTGGAGTGGTCGGCTGTTTCTTCTTTTTCTCGTCCTTGCGTTTCTTCTTGTCTTCTCGCTGCCTGGCCTCTTTCTCCTGATGCTGAGCTTTTCCCGTGTCTGCTGACCTCTTTTCATTTCCCCTGTCTTGCAGCTGCTCCCTGCCATTGCCCTCAGTAGACCTCCTCTTCTTCTTTGGCTTAGTTTTGTCTCTGGTCCCTGTGTGGCCGGGAGTCGGAGTACTGTCACGCTCGGTGGCATCACTCCTGCTCGAAGCTTCGCCGTCATCGGCACCTACTGCTCCATAGAACGAAGGTCGAGTGTTGGCACGATTCTTGGACAAGGCCAGCTGTTGAAAGATGTAGGTGGGGTTTGATTTGGGATCTTGCGGAACCTCGATCGTGGTCTGTAGACGCGGTGCCGATCCTGCATCCACAACTTTTCTCCCGCCAAAGGCTGGTGACAGTGGTGTCAGTTTGGAACCGGAGTCGGGAACGGCGCCCGCCGCGACAGACCGTGCTCGTCTCGCCTGGTGAGCCCACGGGTCCGTTTTGGTGAGATCGACAATGTCTTGCGTGAGGCGGGTGGATTTCTGCGGAGTGACACTCGAATGACGCTTGCCATTTGCGTGTTTCCGTGACTTGTCTTTGGCCATTTTGAGCGGGAAATGAGTGAGACGCCAAAAGAATCCTCGAGACTCGCCCAGACTCAGGCCAAAGTGAAATGTGGATCGAGATTGGGAGGCGATATCAAGACACTGTGGATGCAGTCCTGGTTTCGGTCATCAGCCACGCCAAGGCCAGCGAGAGAGAGAGAGGAAAAAAAAAAAGAATGAAGTCGATATGTGCTTGTGGTTAGAGTCAAAGACGGTAGGGGAAGGAGGGATTGTTGATTGCGCCGTGAGGACATGAAGGCAAGGATCTGATAAGAAAGCTCGGTCCTCAGTCCTTGTGAATCACCACAAGAGAGTGACTTGGCTGTTGTTAGCAAGTGATGAGTTTCTACCAGACCCGCAGAACGAAGACCAAGTGTAGATTGAAATCGAACAAGCACGGCAGGTTTCTGGTTATTAATCGGTCAAGGTACCTACAACGGGCAAACACAGTTCTCATAAAGGTAGCAAATCTCATTTCTCTAGGATCAGGCTTATCCGAGTCTGAATCATTGTAGAATCGTAAAGGTTGTATGTACTCACAAAGGCTGGTAGAATGAACTCTTTGTCTCCCCTGCAAATGTGTTTATCCGGTTTCTCATATCTTTGGTATCACAAAGCACTTTTCTCATGCCACAGCAAGCATGGCTCTCACTTCCCCATTAGTGTCAGCCGTACCGAGCTTCTCGATTCTCCCCCAATTGGCCCAGATATCGGCCTTCATCTCCTTGAGCCGCTTGTGCATCTTCCAAAGGTCAGTCATGTCTTTATCATCACGCTCCTTTTCGTCCACCTGTGATATCTTGTCGTAAAGGTCCTTGTAGCGTTTGTAATACTTCTGAAACCTTCTCGCCTCCTCAATGACATCCGCCCGGTTGGGTCCTGGTTTATCGGGGCTTGATGATCGTTCAGAATCGGTGCGGATCGGAGCACCAGGGCGTTTGAGGACAGGGTGCTCAGCTGCACCATTCAGCTGGGGGGTCGAATGACTTGAAGTGGACGTTTGTTGCTGATGCTGCCGTTTTGCAGGACGATCGTCGTCGGAAGGGGCGGCTTTGCGCTTCACGGTGTTCGGACCCGGGCTCCTGCCGCGAGACACGTTCCTACTTTTGTCTGAGATGATAGGAGAGTATTTATTAGCCTGTTTCGCTTGGGGCATGTCGGTGCTGGACGGCGGAGATGACGGGGCCGAAGATTGGTTTGATGCCTTGCTGGAGCTGGAGTGGTCCACGTCCGTCGAGGTGGTGGGAGGTGAAGAGCCAAGGGGTGATGGCTTCTGCGGTGAACTGTCGTGCCGTGGCCGTGGAGAAATGCGAGAAGCCGTACTTTCCAGCTTCTGATGATTCTGGGGTCTCAACGACTTGGAGGGGGCTGTGGCGGCGGAACGAGGCTTATCACTCGCACTGTTATTACCACTCGAAGACGATGAGCTTGAGAGCGTGGACTTGTGGGCAGCCTTTTTCGGAGATGCAGTTGGGAGAGGCGACTTGGCCGATTTGAGAGGAGCTGGTTCTGGCTTTCTCTTCACGGCGGGCGTTGATTTCGTTTTCCCTGCGTCGTGCTTCTTGGGCTTGGCGACGACTTCTGCTGCTTCGGCTTCTTCATCAGAGTCCTCAATGCGTTCAGAGGACTTGAATTTGGCGTCTGGTTTGGCAGACTTTGGGTGCGAGGTCTCCTTGTCCTTGTCCTTGCCTCTGCCAGTACCACTTGTACCACCCTTGACGGTAGCCTTGGTAGGAGCTTTTTCTTTGCGCGCCTTTTCGACACCGACTGGCTCCTTATCCTTCTTCGCTCGGGGCTTACCATGATCTCGGTCTGACACCTCATTTTTAACCTCGTTGCCGTCCTCATTCGGACGGTCAGGCCTGGGCGTGGTGTGACTGGATACTGGCTTGTCAAAGTTCAGCTTTGACAAGACCTTACCCTTTCCCCTTTCCTCTGAGGGAAGTAAGAGTTGCCAGAGAGGGTCTTTCTTCTCCACCCTCATCCTGTCATAAGCCTGGATGGCATGATCAATAGCTGCTTGTCTCTCCTCCTGCGAGCGGTACTGGAATTTCCACACATCCAGTTCCCGGTAACTCTTTTCCTTCAACTCCCTTTTCCCATCCTCTGCTTTGGACTCCCGTGACACCTTATCGAGCAGTTTGTCTATGTCGTCCTTGGTTGCGCGCAATTGGTCACAGATCGCTTTTGGTGTCATGGGCCGGACAGCCAGAAGGTGCACGAGCGGCACGCGAATTGCATCGAGTCGTATTCGATCCTTTGTCGACATGCCAGAGGACAAAGGGGCCGAGGTAGGCCCAAGCCGGGGAGAATACGAGGCACTCAGAAAAGGACTCCCCGGTGTAGATCTGTTCAAAGATCCCAACAGATGATCTTTCCTCAGGGCAGAGCCCTGTCCTACTAAGGGTGACGGTTTCACATCTTTCCTTGCTGCTTGTTTTAGGTCTTCTTTCAAGCTCGTCTCATTCCACGCTCGTTCCTCCTGTATAGATTTAAGGGTGCTTTCCAGGGTAGCCAAGGCTTCGTCGGCCTTTGCGGTATCTTTTTCAGCTTTCCTGACCTCAAGCCTATGGCTTGACTTGCCAGTGAAATATAGAGGGGTTGTGTCGTCGTCGGACTTGGAATAGATCTCGGTGGGGAACGTCTCGACGCTGCTTTCCAGGGTTATGGTTTTCTTGCCAAACTGCACCACTGGTCTTTTTCCACATCGGAACCGAACTTGCTCGTTACTTTTAAGGCATCGAAGAATGTCCTTGGTCACGGACTCAACCAAGTCCAACCGGATCACCTGGGTGGGCTCTGTCGTGTGTTTACTCTCTGTATTGGACTTGGAGTCCCGTCGTAGGACGAGCCCCTCGGAGGGGACATTGAACGTGCCCATGTTGCAGGAAAAGAGGTCTCGGCTTGGTCAAGGCAGAAAGATTATGGTAGGTTTTGTAGGGCTCATTCCTGGTGTTTCGAGAAATTGCGAGGACGGAGTCAGGGCAAGACTGGCGTGGAGAAGAGTCGGCTCGCTGCGCAGCAGTGACAGCAGCTGGCAGACGGCGTCATGACACAATGTTTAGAACAAAAGAAGTGAAGACCAATTTGGCTGGACAATAGGAGCCGGTGAAAGAACAAAGCCACGATCCGTTTACAGCAGAGGCGAGGTCAAAGGTCGAGGTTGAGGATGAGAAGCAGGACAAAGGCATGCTGACGACTATTGGAGGGATCGGGGGTGTGGAGAGGGGACGAGGATGAAGCGACCTTGGAAGCACGCGGTCGGACAGTAGTAGTGGGACACGCCGTGTATCTCGTATGGCGATGCGATTTGCTTTGAGAGGTGTGTGTGTGGGCGAAAAGGTTCAGAGCGCGGGAGCGGTTGCCCTTCGATCAACAGCCGATTTGGCTCTGGCCGCTTGAGGGACAGTCGAGGACAACCAAGGACAACGGAGAAAGTTTGAGGGAAGCCCAAAGAGTCGCCCTAGGGACGACCCAGGGCGAGTTGCTGGACCAGGTAGTGACCAGGGTTAGAAGCCACCGAGGCCATCGAGGCCCGTCTTCGGGGACAGCGACAGCGCTGACTGGCTCGCCGAGAGGGTTAGGCGGGAGCCACATTCTTCAGGTCTACGCCCGCCGTGGCTAGCCTCCCGCCTTTCCGGGGCTTTCTGGCGTTGTGTCAGCACTGGAAACCAGCAGCAACCAGCAGTGGCAGTGGTGAGCAGTGGGTAGTGGGCGGTGGGCTGTGGGAGGCTTTTGCCCTCCGTCACACGGGCAAGCATCAGCCCGAGGCTTGGAGCCAGCCATTTACTGTAGAGGCCACCAGAGGGTTTTAGAACATCTCCCGCAACCCCTTCGTGCCCTTGTTCTCGGCCTTGGCCTATATGGGGGTTGCCGTCACCCCTCGAAAACTGTTCGGAAACGCAGCCACTCCTCCGAAAGAGGATCAGAAGGGAGGCGTGCACGGGCGTGTTTCAGGGCGATGAAGGAAGCCCGGATCAGATTGATTTGTTTTAGATCCCCAACCCTGACTGAGACTGAACTTGAGCAAAGGCGTCTAAAACAGGCACAGTCTAAAGGATTGGAATCGAAGGGGCCAGGACCGGGGTTGTTTTTTGCCACTGACGACCGTGCACCAAGAGGTTGACCCGGCTCGGGCTCCTTTGATCTGAGGATTTGTGGCCAAAATATTTCCTGGACTACTACAATTATATGTCTAGTTCCTTGCCGCTTGACAAGTTCCGCCTTGGAAAAAAAAGGTGGTGTGAGGAGACCAAGTAGAAGACAAATAGCATGGCAAATGAACCGGTTCTCCGAGTCGAGAGAAGCTGCTTTCAATAGCGTCTTAGTCTACTGGTAGCATCGTACGAACGGTTAGGTTAAGTTAGGACAGGTGCTGCGTCCCGCGTCCTGTGCTGCAACATCCCGAGCACCAAACCTGTGGTCGTGAGATCTTACTCTGGAGACGCTGACGGGACATTTCGCCTTCTGTACCTCGTAGGTAAATGTCATCGATTGACCTTGCATCCGATTCAGGTATTTGTACTCGGGACTCGGTACAATCCAGAGGCACAACATAAACTTGGACATAACCGGCATTGAGGAGACATAAGGAGATTCATAGCGAATAACGTCCAGAGTTTAGAGTTCCGCTCTATTGACAATTTTGATACTCACTTGGTGGTGGAGTAGGAGAGCGGCACGGATAGAGACAAGCAGACATATACTCGGTACTTGTACCTTTTATGAAAGTGACTTTCTTCTGGGAGTGCTGCTACTTGCTCGTGCTGAACTCCACAGGTAGTCGCGGGCGAAGAACCTGTCGTCCCCCGTCCTATTCTAATTAGCCGCTCGCCGCTTTACTCAGCCTCGGCCCACCTTCCGCTCCTTGAGCGATCCCCAAGCCATCACTAAGCGCTCCCTAAGTACAGTATATAGTCCTTCGTTCGTCCGCTTTATTCATAACGACGGAGGAATCCGTTCGAGATACTACGGTACCAGCAACATATCTCATGAAGCGAAATCACTGACATAGAATATCTTCACGTGATCTGGGCCTCGGCATCCGAGCTTCAGGCAACGATCGCCGCCTCGCAGCGATTTACTTGTGGCGGCTGCCTACAATGGTTCACCAGACTTATTCAGCCGCTCCTCAGCCTGACCATGAGGTCGTTTTTATCCTCTACCCGGCAGCTTCCAAATCGCTACGTAATTATCGCCTTGAAGCTAAATCTTCCGTCGAGCGCTCTCTGTGCAGGTTCGGAGAATAGACTTTATTAGACGCGTTGACGCGTAACCCTAAGGTGCCCGGGCTGGAAGTGATCGGCGCGATTTCAGTCATCGTCAGTATCATCGACGCCTCAATCAAGGTCTACGACGGCGCACAGAAAGACGTAAAGCTGCCAGACACGTTCCACGTCGGGGGGGGGCGCCGCCTCTCCTTCCTCCGCGACACCCTCGAGACATGTAAGAGCCACCTGCAACCGATCCAAGATTCTTTGTCTACGGACGTTTATAAGGCGTTGGAGAAGACGCTGGAGGGATGCGATGAAAGAGCGGGAAATCTAAGATAAATCTTTGAGAGTCCTGCCTGTAGAAAATGATGGGTGGGAGAAACGATACGCGAAGGTCGTTAAGAGACTGGGTAAGGGCAACAAGGTGGAAGAGTTGATGGTGTCGATCACGGAAGGACGTGCAACTAGTGGTCAACCACCATGCGGTCCAATCAGCTAAACCCGAGTAGATTACCGAGCTGGAGAAAATCATCAAAGAGATGAAGTCGGCGCGGCGGTTGATGCCTGAGGAAGAGGTTTCGGGAATGGCGTTCACCAATCAAGGTAATATGGAGAACTACATGAATCAAGACAAAGGGTATTTGGTGGTCAATCGTGAAAAGGCCCAAACTCGGAATCTTGGTAAGAACTCGCCATGACGAGAACATTTTCATTTCACAGGTGGATGCTGGAAGGCGAGTTGGTATTGACCCATTTAGTCTTTACACAAACACCTCAGCCTCTATGTGTTTTCAGATCCTCGAATCAATGCGGGTGGTTTATCAAACACTATTTGGGTTTTCGATGTTCTAGAACGAATTCTCCTATCTATAGGCTCGTTTGTTCGGTGTTTTAAAACGGACAAAGCTGATCGCCCTTGACACTAGTCATCCAGCAGAAAGAAGACTTAAGCTTCCGAGAGCCTGTTGGCGTCCACCTCATTCAGGCGCCTTACATGAACCCCAAACTCTTCATCGGACGAGAGTCTAAGATGGCTCAGATGCAAGAGATTCTACGACCGGGTGGCTCGTCTTGAGAGCAACGACGACTGGTGCTGGGTGGTACGGTTGTGATGGGAAAGACACAACTAGCCATCGCTTTCGCGAAGCGCCACTACCAGGAAGACGAGTCCATCTTCTGGCTTAATGCGACGTCCGAGGCCACGCTCAAGGACAGTTTCCGGCTTGCGGCCGAGGCCATCTTTGATCTTCGGGAGGCGGGAGTACTGCAGGATGAGCAGAGCATCAAGCACACTCAGCGATGGTTGTGCGACAAGAGGAACACGCGGTGGTTGCTGATCAAGCGCATCGCCCCGGACGAAACCCTCATCTACCAACCTAAGGTCTCGGACGACGAGAAGAAACCTGCTGCCAGACACAAGACGTACACCCTTCGACCGGGCATTCCCCCTTTCTATGATCGGCCTCCTCATCCACCACTCCCCGACCTAGTTCGAAGACCCTATGGCCTTCCGGCCTCAGTGGTGGATCGACGACCCAACACTCGACCGCTACCTCGTCCCCTTCTCACGTGGCGCCCGGGCCTACGCTGAGCTGTACCTCGCCACGGCGGCCGCGTTTCAGCAGTACGGCAGCCCAGACGTCCACTTCCAAGGGGATCAGGACCTCCGAGAGCTGTACGACACTAGCTACCAGGACCTCGAGATCATTGGTGAGGGAGTAACCCCTTGGTATCGGCCGGACAGTCATGGGGTGAGGATCGTGGTGCGTGCTGCACGACTATTTCTGCCGTGCGAGTGATGCGGATGGATGGTCTACTGGAATCAATCTGGGTGGCTATATCGGGGGCTTTCGCCGACCAAATAGTATCCCAAGACCTGTGATCTAGTCGGCTTTATCGCTTCAGAGAACAACGTACCTGTTTTCTGTCAGATAGTCGATCTCTCCGGTTCCGTCACACAGAAAGTACTCAGATCTTTTATAGCGATTTTGGAGAAGTCCAGCGCCATTCTTTGCTCCCCACCCCAGTCAACACGCTTTGACTCGTCCAATGTCTTCATCTCCTTGGTGCTGCCGAGGCTGTGATTTCTCCAGCTCGGTGCGGGGGAAAATGGGGCTCGTTCGTTCGTCTACAAACAAAGGTACAGTTACCTACCTACCTGGTGTAAGAAAAAAGCCCAAGAATGACAATCGACAATCCTCTTGGAAAAGTCCGCAGCAGCTGAACAACAGCCATGTCTCCCAATCTCGACATCCCGTCCATCTGTGCACAGATCGCTCGCGATTACTCACCCTGCGACGTCTCCGATGCGCTCCTCAAACTCCACGTCCCGGCTGCAGGCTACCTTCGCGACATCTTGCCCTTCCCAGCTGTTCACCACCATGGCTCCCCCGGCCGCCTCGTGGCGCCCATCAGCACGGTTCTCTTCGTCGACAACGCTCACGCTCCAGGCACGCAGTATGACGGCATGATGGTGTCCGCGGAATCCAACCTGCCCAACGACAAGCACTTCACCGACGTTGCGCCGGCGGGCTCCGTGGTCCTCATGCAGCAGCCCTCGCACCAGATCGCGGCCCTGCTGGGCGACATCGTGGCGACGCGGTACAAGCTCCGCGGCGTCAAGGGGTGCATTATGGACGGCCGGGCCCGGGACCGCGTCGGCTGCGGCGAGCTATGCAAGGACGGGAGCTTTCAATGCTGGGCAAAGGCCCTGACGAGCCCCGGCACGAGTCTCGAGGCGAAACCCTGGGCCGTGGATGTGCCCATTAAGATTGGAGGCGTGGTCGTTGCTCCGGGAGACGTCTTGGTCGCCGACGAGGCCGAGATGGTCTGCTGTGTAATCCCGAGGGCGAGGTTGCAGGAGGTCATGGAGCTGCTGCCCGTGCAGAAGGAGGCGGACGACGGTCTGCTAGAGGATGTAAAGCGTGGAATGGGCTTCAAGGAGGCGATCAAGCGGTGGCCAAAGCATTATAGTAATCATTAAAGGAGGTGAGTGGGCCAGGAGGTGCTGGAAAAGGGCATATAGAAATCTAGAAGACAATCTCTTATCTCTCCGCTGTGATTCTGACTTGAATGCCCCAAGCAGCTGCATTGCACTTGAGCGAACTAACCGCATATCCATTGGGACAACCCGATACATTGATCCTCTCCTCTGCGAAAGAACGGCGATTCCCATTAAACTGAAGCGGAAACCTCAGGTGATTACCCGCAATCTCAGCTTGGTAACGGGCATTCACGGCGCAGGATTGGTTTACCCCTACCTCGCCTGCTCCACTTCCTTCGTAGATAGGATACTGTCCATCCGGTGAAGGTGGAGAGAGGTCTTTGCGGCCCCCAACTCGTCCTGGGGAAGTCTGGAGAACGTGGATACGTTGGCTCGGCTATCCACAGTTCAGCAGCTGCCTGGAAGCATTCCTCGTTCTAGGGCCGGATAATGCTCTTCCGCAGACAGCACGAAACGATAAAGTCATTCCTCCTTCGCTTACTAGCGCAGATGGGAGCCAACAAGTACGCCCAGATGGTCTTTCTGTGGCATTGAATTACCGCGAAAGCTTCTTGGATAATGCTGTTCCGGTTAGGTCGATAAAGAAGCTCGTTTCCATGAGATGATTTATAGGTTTCGAGCTTCGTCGACCGGGGCCGTGGCTTCTAGGTGCCTTTTCCCCAGGACACTTGCTTCATCGTCACCTTTCGGTACGATTCAGATAGCCATCGAGTCTGGGCTTGCCCGCTCTTCACGAACGCAGTTGCAACAGCCATGTCCATCAGGAAGTACAAGGCTGCCATCTCACAGGCTGAGCCAGTCTGGTTCGACCTGCAAGGCGCGGTCGATCGCACGGTCGAACTCATCCAAGAGGCTGCCGCAAATGGAGCATCCCTGGTCGCGTTCTCTGAGCTCTGGATTCCAGGGTATCCCAACTTCCTCTGGGGCGGCACGTACAGCGAGAACATCCCTTTGGTTCAGAAGTACATGAAGAACAGCATGACGGCGCATGGACCCGAAATGCTTCGAATTCGCCAGGCGGCAGCGGCCAACAAGATGCACGTCGTCCTGGGCTTCAGCGAGCGGGTGGCTAGCACCCTGTACCTTGCGCAGGTCCTCATCGACGACAAAGGGGACGTTCTCCTCCACCGTCGCAAAATCAAGCCCACCCATCTGGAGCGCACCCTGTTTGGCGATTCGACCGGCGACTCCTTGCAGACGGTGGCGGACACAAAGCTGGGAAAGATCGGCATGCTCAACTGCTGGGAGCACTTCCAGCCACTGCTCAAATACCATACCTACGCCCAGAACGAGCAGGTGCACGTGGCAGCGTGGCCGTACCACGGCGAGGCCCTGGGAGAGGAGCCTTGGTCCGTCTGTACCGAGGCGAACGAGGTGACGGCAAGCCGCATGCATGCCCTGGAAGGAGGCACCTTCGTCCTGGTCAGCAACCAGATGATCTCCGCCGAGGGACTCAAGAAGAACACCGAGGGCCACAACGCGACGGGCAAGTCCTTCTCCGTTGGTGGTGGCGGAGGTGGCGCAGCTCGAGTATTCGGCCCCGACGGTCGCCAGCTCACCAAGGAGTCTGATCCGTACCACGACGGCTTGATTTACTGCGATATCGACCTCGACTTGATCGACCGCGCCAAAACGCTGGCGGACCCGGTCGGGCACTACTCGCGGCCAGACCTGCTGCGGCTGGTGGTGGACGACCGGCCCAAACATTACGAGATGAGAGCTGATGGGGAGCCACCGAAAACACTCACATCCGCGTTCAAACCGCTCGGCGAAACGATTGCGGAGTTTGAGAATGTGGCACCGTGATAGCTTGGTTGCCCGGATGGGAGAGGACGTGACAGTGAGGACAGATACATAGCGAAAGATATATAGTGAGGAGATATATCTTTGGATCGTCCTGTAGAAAATATGACAGTTGTCCGAATTCTGAATGTTGTATTTCATCCTTCCCTCTTAGACAGTTGCAAGTATTTCTCGACCTCATTGATATCACGTATGCTTTGAACCAGCCAACCTTTTGGAACCATCCACATGTCCGTGTAATAGCCACCTTCACAGAATGGTAGTGAAAGGACAGACGTCTCATTCAGCTCTTCCCATCAACCACCTCGGTACCTTTCTGTTTGTCCTCCACTCCAGAAATCACCTTAAACATTCCCCAGGTATCCCCAACGGCCCAAACGTCCTGAATCTTCCCGTTGACGATCCGGAAGATGCCTACGCCGGGATACTCAAACCTGCGCCCAGTCGCCGCGTATCCGCGGAAGTCCTTGCTGTGCGTGGCTGACCAGTGCATGCGCGCGATACATGTCTCGTTCTCGCTGTCTACCCACAACTGCTCGACCCGCTGGTAGAAGTCCGGAAACGAGGCCTCGATCTCACGCACGTATCGCTTGAAGCCCTCTCGGTCCGTGGTGCCGTGCTCGAGGGTGCCGCGGAATGCGACGGTCGGCGAGATCAACTCGTCCACCAAGGATGGGGTGGTGTCGAATTTGTTCCAGATGTCTGAGTAGAAGCGGCGCACGATGAGCTTCATGGCGGAGCTGGTGGTGGTGGTGGTGGTGGTTGTTATTGCTGATGTTTTTGAGATTGCTGCCGCCATTCTCGGTGGTGTCTTTGGCTGGTATGCTGTGGGTGGGAGGGATGCGTATTTCAAAGTCTAGCAGTTGGTTCTTCTGTGACTTTTAGTAGCCCAACGAGGGGCCGTGAAGTGCTATATCATCGCTGTGAGCTCTCGTTACGCATAGGCAGTCGCTGTCCGTGGAACAATGGTGTCTGATTAGTTGTGGTAACGGTTTCCCTCGCTTGCCCACGCTTGCCCACGCTTGCCTCCGGCTGATGGACCAGGTCCATACTCTCGCAACCTCAGTGATATCTTCCATGTGGAAAAAGCTTTCTCGGCGAATCCACTTTCAGCCTTGGCCGGTTCGATACATATCATCGGATGCGCAATATCCAGCCTGGGTGCCAGCCAGTCGCTGAGCTCCGACATCAGCGGGACCTTTTACCAAACCCATATTCTCAATGGCCAGCACTTCTAACCAGTCAGATCAGTATGTGGAGATACTGCTGGTACCAAGATAGGAGCTGCGGATCTCGTGCCTCTTCGTCATGTCCACTTTTCCAACCATACTTATCAGCAAAGTCGGTCGGTTGAGGATTACCCGCACGTCCTGCCCGGTCATGACGGCCATCACAAGGCTCCTGACCCGGCACAGGATAAACTTAGGCCAGTCTGTAATCTTGCACAACAACCGAGCTGAAGAGACGTGGACTGTCCACATGAATAGTATATGTGATCTCGCGGGTCATTCAGACCACTACTGCTTTGGAGTTAACGAGGCACAAGGGCCGGCGTTGGAAAGGGCCTTGAGGGAGAGCATATAAAAGCTCCATGAACTGCTATGCTATTCTGACCGGGGACCATCTGACTACTCGATTCTATATCACGCATCATGGCATCCCACACCTCCCAGCCGCAGACGACTTTGGACGAGACCAAAATGGCTTCCGAAATAGAGATGACCAAACCCTCTCTGGAGGAAGGCCAGCACCGAGACGTGAATGAGCAAGTCTCCTTCACCCCTGACTCTCGCTTTGAGCGCAAGCTCATCCGTAAGCTGGACCTCCTCACTGTCCCAGTGATGATCTTGATCTATTTCCTCTCGTGAGTATATAACCAGCTCTCATGGGCAGCTTTGGCTGCTGTCTCGGTTACTGAACTGACTAGTGATGCAGGTTTCTGGACCGGACCAATATAGGCAATGCGAGGCTGCAAGGTCTTCAGGAAGAGCTGGGTCTCACAGACCATACCTACCGCATCGCCCTCTCCGTGCTGTACGTCCCTTATATCATTCTGGAAATCCCCAGCAACCTGGTCCTTAAGAAGATCGGACCGCACATTTTCTTGCCGACCCTGATGACCATCTGGGGCATCGTCGCCACGCTGCAGGTTAGGAAGTCATTCCAATATCTGATGTTGCAAATGCTGATCGTGAACCAGGGCATCGTCAAGTCCACTGCAGGTCTGTATGTGAACCGATTCTTTCTGGGCGCTGTCGAAGCTGGAATCGTCCCGGCCATCATCCTCTATCTGTCCATGTGGTACAAGCGCGGCGAGCTGCAGACTCGGATCGGGCTCTTCTGGGGTGCGGCCTCGCTTTCCGGTGCCATTGGAGGTCTCCTTGCCGCGGCGATCAGTAATTTGGACGGCCACGCCTCGCTCAGGGGGTGGAGTTGGATCTTTATCATCGAAGGTACGTGCGGATAGCCTCTGGTCAGCATGGGCACTTGCTTTCCTCGTATTGTTTCTTAAGCCCTTGATTGTGACCAAGGGTCTGACGCTCAAACTGCCTTTTCGCTTCCATCTAGGCATCTTTACCGTCGTCTGTGGTTTCGCATCATTCTTCCTCATCGCCAAAGCCCCAGAAACCACTCGGTTCCTATCGGAACAGGAACGAGAATACGCAGTTGCACGACTCAGGCATGATGCCATGCATACCAACCAAGTCACCATCGACGGCGTCACACACCACTTGGTCGTCGACAACAGCTTCTCGTGGAAGGCTGTCTATTCGGTCTTCATCGACCCCCAGATGTACGGCCTGGCCGTGGTGGCCTTCAGCAGCGGAACTTTGGTCTTTAGCCAGGCATAGTAAGCTCTAACTCTCGATCCGATCTTGCAAGTTGTCCAAGCAACCAAAGCCTAATGGAAACCCCTATAGCTTTCTTCCGACCGTCATATCTGACATGAAGAGCATTGCGACGACCCCTGTGATCGCACAGCTCTTGACCGTCCCGTAAGTCAACTTTCTGCTTGAAACATTCATTCAGGGGTGTGCTGATGCTCATAGCAGGCCGTACACGGTTGGGGTCATCACCACGCTCATCGGCTGCCATTACTCGGACAAATACCACTTCCGCTACCCTTCCCTGGCCATCCCCACTCTGGTTGCAATCATCGGCGTCGCCATCATATACGCCACCGAAGGCGTCGGGGTCCGATATTTCGGCATCCACCTGACGGTCGCCGGCATCTACAGTTCTGTCCCCGTCTACCTTTCCTGGGGCTCGAACAATTTCTCGGGCCATTACCGGCGCGCAACGGGCGTGGCCGCCATCTTTGTCTTCACCAACTCCGGCGGCATTCTCTCGACCTGGCTGTTCCGGGCGTCCGAGGCTCCTAGCTTTCAAACGGCATATATCATCAACCTGGTGCTTCTGTGCGTGCTGCTGGTCTCGGCTACGGGTCTCTCGCTGTATTATCTGCGCCAGAACAAGATTCGGGACGGGTTCGTTCGAAGCGGTAGATTTGAAGAGTACGGGATGGACAAGGACGGTGACCAACATCTGTTTTTCCGATATGTTCGTTGAGGCTGAGGAGGTTTGGCAGAAGGAGGGATTGAAACTTGGTGTGGCCAGAGGCCCGCCAGTTGGTATTCATCTTTCAGCTGGGACAAAACCGGTCATGGAACATCCATTCCCCACATGTCCTGGTCGAAGAAGCCATAGTCCATTTGAGGGTCCGAGAACACGCTGTCGAACGAGAGCAGCCAGTCAATATTGTCCGGCGACGTTGCGAACGCGGCGGCTGCGGTTGTGCCAATAGGGGCATGGGTAGTGTTAGAACTGTTGTCGTTACCAGCACCTGGCCCTCCGATATCCAGCTCGTGCATCGCTAGGCCAGTCGGCATTAAATTCTCCGCCTTGTGACTATTCTGGGCATGTAGTTTCTCGTTCACGGCCCATTTTTCGGCAAGGATTTGCAAGGAGCGGATCGCGCGGAGACTCCAGGACCACGCGGTGCTCATCTCCTGCAGGCATGCCATGTTGAATTTCAGCAGTCGGATAGCCGCGCGGCTGATCTCGGCGTCGTTGGAGGTGGCATTCAACAGCAAGATAACCGACGCAGTGCCCACTGCATGAACCGTCGATATGGGTATCCTTCTCTACGGCCAGACTTAGCGCATCAATGGACGAGGTCGCGCGAGGCGGTACCTACCAATGTATAGTTGGACCGATAAGCTCTGAGGATGCTGGAGACAGCCTCGGCGGAGGAAGTGCAGATGCGACGATGAAAGAGGCGGTCAAGGTCAGGAAAGGAAGCCAATTGCTCTTCGCGACGGAGGAACGGCCGGTGCAGCAAGATGATGACCGTGTGATACTGCAAACTGCGTAAGGCGTCAGTCTTTGACACGTGCGCATACCAAGCAGCATCAGAAGAAACATACTGGAGCGAGTATATGTGGGCGGGAAGAGCCGTCTTCGTCGAGTGAGGCAGTTTCAATATGCTAGGCAGATTCGAATATTGCTCGGTCAGGATAACGTGGGTCTTTGTGGCCATTTCTTGCTTGTCGGAGAAGCTGAGCTCGCTGTTCGGACCGTATCTGGAGAGCAGTGAGCATTGGCCCTGCTGGCAAGTAGTGTGGCAAGAGGAACATACATACTGTCCAGAGTCGGGCTCGCAAGCTGAAAGATTGTCGTCATGTACCGCAAGTTCGTTACACAGTGGGATGCAAGCGGCTGGGTGGACTCTCCACCTTCGATCGATGTCCAGGGAGTGAACTCTTCTTCCTTGAGGAGAGTCGGTTTCGGCGCGGTGATGTCGCTCTCGCGTATCATGCTGGGGCGTCCCAGTCCGATATTAAACAGCCTGAATGTGGTCAGCTTGACGAAGACATTCCTTCGATATCGTATCAAGAGTACTTGTCTAGAAGATAGCAGCCCCACCAAGTAATCCTTCGAATCTCGGATTGTTCCTCAGTGATCTTACTCCGGTGAACCCATTTTTGACAGTCCAAATTCAAGCCTAGGTTATATGCAATACGAACTGCCATCCCTAAAACCATCCTAGGTTAACAGCCTACCATACACGCAGAAGACCAGACACTCACCAATATAAATCCAGCCCAGGGTCTCTTTGTTGACGGACATCTCCCGTAGGGCCAAGATGGCGAGTGCAGCCGTCGTGGAAGTGGATGGGTGTTCGATCTCGACGCTCAAGATATCCTTAGCTTGAGCAGCCAGAAGATCACCAGCCGTGTTTGCGTCTCTCGCATCCAGACGAGGCCCTGGGTGATCACAGTATCTGCTGGCCAGAGCGAGCACACAGCGCAGAAGAAGCGGGGTGCAGTATTCGTTATACAACCTGCTCTCGAATGCTCGACAAAAGGCTTGTCGATGGATCAGATATTGCCAGGGATTCTGCCACCTCCAGAATAAGTTCAGTAGGTGAGTTTGCAGTTCGTATGAGAGATCAACATCAATCGTGTTCGGCTGCATTGTCAGGTCCAAGTCGTCTTGCTCGGTGCTCCTGGTAGTCAAATAAGGGGCACTCTTAAGGAGATTGAAATAGCTCGGAGCGCCGAAGAATCGTAGATGGCCGTCCTCAGCAATGTCCAATTGACCCGCAGTCTCTGTCAACTCGTCAAGGGGGCCTCGCTCTGTCGTGGGCCATAGATCCAGTTCCCGAGTATGAGATTGGGCAGGACGGGCGTCCTCTCCGCCTAGGGTCGGGGCAACACCGGGGCTTATGTTCACAAAGTCCAGTGCGGTAGACAGAGATCCGTGTTGTTGGCATGCATGTAGTTGGCGTTCCAGAGATTTGATGCGTGCATGGAGGGCTTCGACATAGTGTTTCGTTGGCGGCCTAGTTTTCTCAGCCTCTCAGCCCGAAGAGCACGGCGCGGATAACATACTTGCGTTTCTCTGTCTCGAAGGGATATTCACACTGCTTTCCTAGCCGGACGCACGTACTGCATTCCGGCAATTGGCCGTCGCACTGGGTCTGCTGTCAGCACCCATACGAGGTCAAGCGGTGTGGGATGAAGTCCTTACCCGGCTTCTTCTCAGGCGGCATGTCGTGCATGCTACCGACACTCGCTGCCTTATAGGCTTTTGAGACATTTGGTTTGGACGGTCGTATGTACGTGTCCGCGAGTGGCGTTATATATTCGTAGGCAATCTGCTGTTGAAATCCCCCGCTACAGCGGACAACCATGACAGCATCGGGGAGATAAGTCTCGTGTGTGGTGAAGCTAACCTCCGCACGCGCACGTGTGACTGGGACAATTGCCAAGTCGATCTTAACGACTTCACACTTTGGCCAAAGGCTTCGGATTGGTGCCAAGTATCGCCCCGGTAACTACTCAATAGTATAGCCAGATGGTCTCAAAGCATGGAAGACTCACTACGGGGGCGTAGAGGGGATCCTTGGGTTCTTTTGGGGGGGGGATGAGAAACACCAAACGGAACCGGCCAAGCTTCCCTGCCCCCCTGGGTGCCCCCATTATTTTAGGGACAACACACGCTCAATTGCCACAGGCGCTTAGCTGCGCCAAAGTCTCGTGCTCGGCGCCTCTTTAGCCTGCGGCCCTCGTCTACCCTGGAGGACCACCCGCCACGCCGCCTTTTGCGCAGATTTGATCATGTCGCTTGCAGCCTCGTCGGTTGCGTATCTTCTGAAGATTAATATCTTTGGAGACTCGGATCTTTCGCATAGCTGATTTGCCTGACGAGTGTACACTATGTCTCTAGGTACGTCTACCCGCTTGCTTGACTTGATGCCGCGAATACCTGAAGCCGATTTCAAGCCGCCAACATTTTCCACCAGAAACGCTGACTCGTGCCATCAGCCTTGGATGAACAGACCCTACAACATGTGGCCAGTAATGGCGAGATGGACTAGTATGCTCGTTCTGTTGCTTAGTTCTGCGATATTGAGACTTACCCTGCTCCAGTGCAAAATGGCCCGCCATCATCGAACCACTACTCCAGCGACTCAATGAGGTACATACTTGATTCTGTGAAATATTGCTCACTGTGGGATTGACATGCGATGTACAGATTGTGTATACGGAATTCCCTATGCCACGGCCATATCCCACAATAAATCGGCCGGCTCCTTCCTCACCGAGTCAAACACAGCCGACACAGATGGGTGATTCCAATCCTAACCCGCAGACACCATCGACACCTGTGCGAAATCTACCTCCCGTCCCACCCTTCCCAACATCGTCGGCGACTTCTACAAGCCATGTGCCTGATTCTCTCCCTCAATCCCAAGATGCCGATGTCAGTGCGCTGAATGAACTTCACGAAATATTACTGCAACTCCTCAATAGCGTAACACATACGCTTCGATCCTCATTTTCAGAAAGACCCCCTCATACGATACAACGGCTGGCAGAACTTATTCTATACCCAAGAAAACATTACAAGACCCTCCCGGCCTGGTTACGAGCCGTCGATCGAGTTGTCAGCGTCAGTAGCCCTGCAGATATTTTCCCGCTTTCCGACACTCCGCCCGTGGTGAATGGTGTCAATGGAGATGGAGGAGGGGGAATACTCTGGAACAACGGCGACGTGCGCCATGGCTACGACAGCAATTCATTAGGCAGTGACGAAAGTCTAGGTGGCGCACTCCTGACTCCAATACCGTGGTTACGAAATGGAATGAATGGTGGCGAGGATTCTGGTGAAGACACAGGCGCCCCAGACTCGAATGCCAGCACCAGTACTGATGGCTTGGACGACGCTCTCCTCCTGCCGATGACACAGGGCGATGGAGATTCACTAGTACCTGGAAGGGCAGATGGCGCAGTTACCCAAGGCGAGTTGATACGTATGGAACAAGAGGCTGGTGTAGTGCCTGTGACCCGAAACCCTTCTGATACACATGTCAGTGGGACAATGGAAGAGAATTCCCTCGTCGATGAAGGAGATATGGTACCTCACGCCCGCGGACCAGACCTCGTTGGATCCGTGGATATGGGAAGAGTCGATGGTCAAGATGTGGAAATACATATTGGAAGTCCTCCAGGCGAAGAGGGAAACGAGTCTGCCATTGATGCAAGTGACGCGCAGGCAGTCGTTTCTGCACAAACTCGTACTTTGAGCTCTACGGCCATATCGTTGGGTGGACCTGGATCAGCGGCGGATTCGGACGACTTCGAAATTGTGCTCAAGGACGCCGTTGAAGGCACCGATGTGGACGCCATGCAAGTCGACGAGAGCGGGAAAGGCGACGAGAAGCAGCAGAAGCAACAGTGGCTTACCGAAGACGCCGACATTGTTCTTGTGGACGCGGATGGAAAGACTGACGACGAAGTCGAGACCAAGGCTGAGAACTCAGGTCAGACCGTTGGACAGGATACCGTGGACGCGAGCAGTGTGACTTGAGGGATATCTCTCTGCACCAGATCTAAAATCCTTTCAAGATTCGAAGTCCACAATACTGGACTCAGTCTGCTGATCTTCGAGCGCAACCCGAGCATCCTGGATCTATCGTTCGCCCCGGTTGCACGTGTCCTGCGGCAATTTCCACAGGCTAAAAGAATGAAGCTGAAATGGAACCCATCCACCAAAGACCTTGG